CTTGTCTATTATGCAGCGAGTGAAGAGATATGCAGCAGTTTTCATTTTTCGTTTCTGTAAAAGCTGCTTTATACACTTTCAGGTTGCTTCCATTCCATGATATAGGGCATGGATGCAATTTTTTTTTGTTTGTTTATATAAATATATATATATATATATGAAAAGGCTGAAAATTGTTAAAAGAAGAAAAAAGAAATACAATTTCATGCACAAAGATGGAAAATCATTATACAAATTGAGCAGAAATTCTTTACTCTTTTCAATGCTTAATGCCCACACTTCCTGAGGCACGTGAAATTCAGAAGTTGGTAGTGTGCTGTTTGCTCATCATTAAACTTACTGTACCAATGTACCATTTTCACTACAACCACATACCCAAGTTTTCTTTCTTCTTTTTTATTTGTTCTACAACCAAAAAAAAAAAATACTCTAAAAATCCCACGCCCCAGACCCAGAGAAGCACTGAGAGAGAGAGGTCATGTCATTGACAGCTTTGCTCCTGGATCATATGGTATGGCATGGCATGGGACGACTGTCTTCAACGACAGGATCCAGACAAAAGATATTAGCTGAGAGAAATTATACTTGCATAGACGAGGGAAGGAAAGGAAGAAGAAAAATACAAGTTTCGAGAGCGTGGTGTCATCATTCCATGGAATTTGAGATGATTGATCGTAACCTGGAAACCCTGCCATTCAATCCACGTTACTTTATTTTTCTTTTATTTTTCTATTAATTATCCCCATATCATATAGAAAAATATAATGTGAAAATTACACTTTTGCTATGACTTGTGAGTTCCTCAAATCAGTTAAAAAAGTGATGGTCCATGGATGATTTATATCTAACCTTTATGTCCCACTCAAAGGCTACTCATGTTATTCTTCCGTTTCTCCTTTCCAATGCTGTGCCTTTTGCACGAGCAAACTGGTCCAATATCACCTCATTTTGATTTCCATTCACATGCTGATACAATATTATTCTCCTTTCATTTCACCTCTTTTCATCCCTAATGATTTATTAAACCCTTGTTTACTAAGGTAAGGTCATTTTTTTTTTATTTAGATTAAATTTTAATAATTTATCTCCACACAGACAGACAAATTATATTTATACATTTATAATTATATAAATGTTGTAGATTAAATTTGCCAGAAGAAAGTGAAATAAAGATTCTTGCAATTATGTTTTGCACCGTAACTATTGTAGCATCTTATTGCTATTCAAAATTAAAAAAAAAAAAAAAAAAATCTGTGACATAATGACCAGCTATAAACAGAGACAAAACGAAATGATGAAACTTGCCTATCTCCTCCCTCGTTAGGGCCCATTAACTAAAGAATACTAATACCATACATTACTTTGTAATATTTTTTAAACTTAGATTTTAAAAAAATATTTCAAAAGACCCAAAAAAGGTCACTGCAAATTATGCTTGATATTATTATTCCCATGGTACGTACCATTGTTACATCATGACTACGTTAGTCCCACGCCAGCTTCAACACCTTAAATAAAATGAAAAATAAAAAAGAATTAGCATTGCTTTTTGGGTTAGAATTAGCCTTGCTCTTGCCTATTACCAATATTATTACAATATAATAAAATATATAAAAATAAGATTATATCGTAATTTTGGCTTGCTTGCCAAGTGAATTTCTCCAAAATTTTACATGCATTTAACAAAACATATACATTTTTAACCTAAAAATTGCAAAGTGTAACTACTTTATTATCCAAATTTTCTTCTATTTAATACTTAGTACGTAGTTTTCTGCATTAATTAGATAATGATAAGTACTGTTGTAATTTTTCCTCGTAGTTTTATGCATTAATTAGATAATGAATAAGTACTATTGTAATTATTCCTTAATAAACTAGTCAATGAGTTGAATTATTTGCCTAGTTCAATGAATTTGACTAATTTGATTTAGCATATTCGACATCATTTTTTAAATTCAATTCTAGCTTGATAAATTATTTAATTAATAAAAATTTATTTTATTTTATTTTATTTTATTTAAAATTATTAAAATATTAATATTAAAATATTTATTTTAAAATTTTGAACTTTTTTATTAGACCAAAGGAACTTTTGATAAAAATTTTCAAAAATCAATCCAATTTCATTTAGTTAAATCCAATTCATAAACATTATTATTAGATACATGCATTAAGTATTGTTGCAAGCTAATAAATTGTTTTGGAGTTTATTTGATACAAGATTACGGTTAAAAAAAAAAAAGAAAAAAGGATACAAAAAATTATTTAAATAATTTATACTATTTTCTATCATGACTTATAAAAACAAATTCGTAATTTATATTTTAAATTTCTTCAAATTTACCTCAAAAGTAATGAAAAAAAAAACCCTTTAAAAGAGCATATAAAAAAATTATTTATTTTAGTAATAATTACTTTAATATTGTCATAACATATAGATCTATAGTTAAAATTAACAAGAAGAGTCATTATTAATCTTTTTTAATTAGGTATGATTGATCACCTAATGAATTTATTCTTTTAAGAAACTCATAAGTTTGACTAAGAGTTTCTAAAAGAATATGTTATGATCTACTAATTAGAACATGATTCGAGAGTTCAATAACATATAAAAAAAAGTTATATCACCTCTATATACCCATCCAACGAATAATATCATTTTATTTTAAATTATCATAAAATCGTGATTATGATGATTGTAAATTTTAATGTTAAATATTAAAAATAACATTTAAAATTCTTCATCAATTTAGTAAAATTTTTAAAAATATTTTATCACTTCAAGAGTATTTAAGAATCTCATTTTTTTCTTTAAGAGGCTCTGTCGTTGAAAAAATATTTAATCATTTTTTATTTTGGTTTTATATTGAAAATATATCTAATTATTCCATCATTTTTGGTCGAATTAAAAACATCTTCTCACCTAAAAATTTCTTAGATAATCATCCATTTGTGATTACTAAGAATTTTATTCTTTGAACTTATTTTTTGTTTTACAAGTTTTATTTCTAAATTTTTCATCATTTGGATCTATTTTAATTTTTTTTATTTTTAAAATTTTACTATTTGGGTCTATTTAGAAATTCTTCTTTTTTTATATATTTGGAAAGAAAATAATATGAAAAATTTTTTTTGAAGTTTCATTTAAATTCTTTCACCATTTGAGACAAATTTAAAAAAATTTCTTACCTAGAGATTTCTTAGGAAATTTACCAGTTAAAATTTTTAAAAATCTCATAATTGGATAATTGTTAAATATTTCTAACCAAAATTTTTTTATTTTATTTAAATTGAAAATAAATATTTATTATTATTATTATTGAAACATTATCTAAATTATTTACCATTTTGGACAAATTTAGAAAAATTTCTCACTTAAAATTTTATAGAAATTTACCATTTTAAATTTCTAAAAATTTCATCATTGGATAATTAGTATTTATTTTCGAAAAAATTTGTTAATGTTTTATATTTTTTAATTTTTTTCAATTTTTTCTAAATTTAACCATGCAAAAATACTTTGAAAAAATCAAACAAATACAATAAATAAATAACAACAAAATGAAAAACAAAAAAACCAAAACAAAAAGCAACTTGGCGTAGTAGCTGTGGCATGGCTTGGCTATAAGGATGGACAACGGTTGGAATGGCTCACTTCATTGCTCGACTCGACTCGACTCAAGCCAAGGATAGGGATTCAAGTCAAAGAAGTGGGTTAGCGCTTGGGTTGAGTCGACTTGAATAGAAACACACGTATCCTGTGGCAAAAATGGCATCGTTTTTGGGCAATATAAAAAGGTCAAAACTTTTTGTTTCCTCATATCTCCTTTCTTTTCTCTATCTCTTTTATTCTCTTTTTCTTTTTTTCTCTCTCTAGAAACAAGAATACTAGTTGAATCTTCACTAGATTCTGAAAATTTACATTGAAATTTGGGTTGAGTCGTCAGAAGTTTATCAGTTTTTGAAAAACTAAAACTAAAGAATGAAAACCTAGCAAAAAAGTCGTTGAAATCTTTAAAGATTGTCGAAAAAATCCACCCAAAACTAAGATTTTCAAAAAAAAATTAAAATTTTTTTTCTTTTTCTACAAAAAATCTCCCAACAAATTTTCGTACTCTCTAACTGCCATTGTGTGTTTTTTTTTCTCTCATCTGTGTCCTTTTGATGTTAGATACAAGTTTGTATTTATAAAGTTCTAATCCAAAGAACCTTAATCCATAAAGGATTTTGATTTCTTTTAAACTCTCCCTTCAAATTTTAAGTTAAACTCAAATCCAAACAAACAATTTCATTTAAACTCAACCACTTGATTTTTTTTATCTTTTTTATTTTTTAGTATTTAATTAATAAAAACAAATAAAACCTTAGACAAATTGGGATGTTTACAAATACTACTGAGATTTCCTTAAATATTAAAAAGTACTCATAATATGAAGTGGATTGAAATTTCTATCCCTTAAAGAAAAATCAGTTAAAAATAAATAAAAAGGCATTCTAATTATTGTTTTCTTTTGCATGATATAATTATAATATACATCATTATTAATTGTAGGCTTCCTTTGCCATAGAAAAAAAACTACAACCTTATTCTACATGTCTATGATTTTTAACCCATCTTTTGCCTACTACACTCATTATTTTCCAAGAAATGAATGTTGATGATTAATTTTGCCAAAATTTACCATCAAAAGTACCACATTAACATAATTGTTGAATAATAGAGAGATAATTAATTTTTTTTTGCAATAATCAAAATGATGATGATAGCAATGGCATATGGTCCACAAGGAATATTTTACCTAGGAAATTAAGAATTGGAATTACCAAAAGGATTATGATTATTATGTTAAATTGAAGAGATGATGATAGCAATATAATGGGGGGTGGGTTTTGGAATTTGAGAAATGGTGGGTAAAGTGGGGTTGGGTTTTGGTTTTGGTTTCGGAGGAGAAGTATATATAAAAAGTGAAATAGTAAAAGAGAGGGGATGAAGAAAAAGGTGACAAGCTTTATTTTCTGCCAAAAGTCAAATAGGGGCCTCTTTCATCAATCATAATGATATCTTCACCGGTGATTGCAGAGGGAGTAGATTTGCACCCAAGATTCATCATCATTACCCTTGATATTTTCCTTTTTTTTTTTTCTTTTAGTTGCTCAAAAAACCCCTAAAAAATTAAATTATACACACAAAAGAAATAGTAGAAAATGACAGAAAAATATGATTCTGATGAATTATTTGTATAATTTTTTTCACTGATTATTGTGTCCCCAATTATATACTCTCTTTTTTTTTACCTTGAAATGTAGGTGTAGCCAACTTTGATCATGCCAACCGAGTGCATGAATTTTCCATGCAATCTAGCAAGGGACCGCGTCTATAAATTAAGCAATTTGTCGTCTATTGTTGACCTCCTTTAAACAGGAAAATTCCACTAACAAATGAGACATGAAATTAATTTCCATGCTTTTGAGGTCAAAGTAACATGTCTTGCACTACTTAACTTAAAAACCTACATAGTTTACTGCCTTTAATTACCTTCACTTTCACTCTTTTTCATTTTTTGAATTATATTCCATTTAAAATTCAAATAAATGTCCATAAAACTTCCAAAATGAAGGGTTGGACATAAAACACAAACACCATCATTTCTAATGGTATTTTTTTCCTTTTTTTTTAATTAAAAGGATCTTTTTAGTTTTTAACAAAAAAGAAGCAGAGCCAAAAAAAGAGAAAAGTGGTTGGTCACATTAAAGGTATTTGGTTATTACATTCATATAATAATAATAATAGTAAATCCTAGTATATATAATTCTCTTTGTCCAGCTATACTAGAAGTTTGAGAGAGACCCTTCCTCCAGTTCTTTTAATCTAGACTCTTTCTATTTGTAGTCGATCATCTAAAAATCCCTAGCTGTTTCCCAAAGTTTTCTCCCATATATATAATTGGAATCAACACCTAAATATTATTTGGTCTCAGATCATCTTCCACAGGCCTCCAGAGATAGAGAGATAGATAGAAGATGTCATCTACCTCCCAAGCCATGCTAAACCAGGGCTTGTTTGAGGAACAAGAGATCCCTACTCAGATGGGTAATTTCTTTATCTTTCCTTCAAGCTTGAGTAATTGTCCTCCGTTGGGTTGCCATCAATCTCTCAAAGTCTCCAATATAGCTGCTGCAGCAGCTTCACTTGCAGCTGATGCAGTACCTAATTCTGCTGCTACTCTAACTGAAACCCTACTCTCATCTGCCACCTCTCAAAAGCATAGACACGACCCTGCTTCTGATTTTGGAGGACCCCAACTCCTTTCCTTGCACAGATCCAGTGCTAATTTCTGGTAAAATTACTGCACTTTTAAATGAATAATTATGTAAAGATTATTCATTGGTTTTTTTTTTTAAAATTTTTTTCTTTTCTTTCCTTGCATGTAAAATGAAATAGTAAATATTTACGAACTCTTCATAAGTTAAAATTTGTTTAATTTCAATCACCCAAGAAAAAATAAAAAAGATTGGTTTCCATGCAGATATCTCTTCTTGTATCATAGCAATGATATTTGGGGTTTTGTTTGTTTGATATGGTTTTAGGGCATGGGAAGAGGTAAACGAGTGTTTGGGAAGCAAGAAAATTGGTGTAGATGATCATCTAGGCGTTCCTGCAATGAAAATGAAAAGGATTAAAGCAAGAAGAAAGGTAAGGGAACCTAGGTTCTGCTTCAAGACCATGAGCGATGTGGATGTATTGGATGATGGATATAAGTGGAGAAAGTACGGCCAGAAAGTGGTAAAGAACACCCAGCATCCCAGGTATATGTCGATTACACTTTCAAAAAAGAAAATTTCTTTTTGTTTGTTTGCTTTTTAACAATTAAATCTCAATGAAAAGTTACAAACATTCACATCAAGCTTTAGCCTTAGTTGTACCCCATACACATGCTATGTTTCCTTCCCCTTTTTTTCTCTGTCGTGTAATTATACTTGTTATCATGACTATTAGGCTTTACAGGCCTGATATTGCATGAGATCTGAATGGGTGATTATGGAGATATTGATCATGAAATTACAAAAAAGAAAATAAAAAGCCTCAAAGAACTAATTATTACCTTCAAAAGATACAAAATCACAGAGTGAAGATAAAAAGGAGAAAAAAAAAGTAGTGCACAACAATTGATCAATTATAATGCACCATAAAGAGGAAGCTATAAGATCTTCAACAATGCCAAAAGTTAGAGGTAGATAGCAAATTGGTAATGCCAGAATAAATATGATATACATATATATATATATATATATATATATGTTGTTTCATGCCATTAACCAGGAGAAAATTAAGCAGCCATCATAAGGGTGAAAAAAGTTAAACATAATAATTAGGAAAATTTTATAATGAAGATCTAGACTAGAACAGTTACATGAAACCGTTGATGTACAGATTCATTACCACAAAGAATTTACTATACATATTTCTTTCAACATGCATGATATGCAAAATATCGTAGCTGGAGGGGAATTTTTTTTTTTTTTTTTTTTGGTTATGAAGAAAGCCGCAATTTGAGAACCAAAAAATAAAAAAATAATTAAATGTATTAAGATTTAAATTTTATGTCATATTTTAATTAAAATGACTGCATGAATTAATTAACTTAAATTTTAAATTTAGATGAGTAATATTTTCATTAGATATATTTTTATGAAACTATTTTTTTCGCATTAGAATAATTTTCCGTTTGAACTTTAGTGATGATAATAGTCATCAATTAGTCTTATTTATATACAATATGTTACCGTCTCTTTTGATAAATAGATAAAGAAAGTTTGAGTTCAAACATTTACTTAAATTAACGACTTAGTAGAAAAGAAAGTAAACGTGGATTCAAAGTTTTGTTTCACTGATAGTTCATGCTAAGTTGCCTAGCTAATTGACATTATATATAGATATAAATGGATTATAGAAAAGATTAAGATATGGAATGCAACAGATAGACGGTAGGATTTGCATTCCTGAGTGTCTTATATGGTATGAATTCTAAGCAATTTGCAGCTGCTGCTATGATAAATAGTGTATTTTACTCATTTACTTTGACAACGAATTTCGCTTTTTGATTTGTCACAATGTGACTTGCCTACAAAGTAGCGAAATTTTCTAAGGCAATGATTTCAACTCTGAATGACTAAAGATTGCATAATTATGGACCTATATGTATATAGTTTTGGGGTTTTGAGTATCATATGTTTTTCTAAAATTATCGGGTTGAAGAGAAAACTGTGCCGGGTCAAAAGCGTGCTTAATGTCCTCAATTTTCCATAGAAATTTTAGCCCCGCATTAGTGCTGAATCATGTCTCATTGTCCTGGGTTAGTGTTTTTTCAACTGTTTGTTATGATCATTTTTGACTTTTTATCTACTAAAAAAATCCTTGTTTACGTGACGGGAATTAAGTATACGAGTCAATAGGAAAAAAAAAAACTTAAAAAATTCTTCCATCTGCAAAGCCATGTTAGATACGAAGAACACGTTTTAGGGGATTTTCAAGTATTTGCTTTTGGATCATAACCAAAATAAACAGGATGGAGCTCGTAGGGCCCTCCCCTATATGTAAGAGGATGCCCTACTCCTCCAAATTGGTAGCCCCCATTTTAATTGGTAATCATCATAACTTAGGGCTTATTATAGCTTTGATTAATTTGAATATCATGAAAATACACAGTGATCCTATCCACCTTCATGCAGCCTTCAGATGCTCACAAGAATCCCTTCTTTTCAACTTTTTTTACTCAATTGATTTCTTTAATTTGTTACCACAATTTCTCCTTTTCACTTTCTTCCTTTTCGTAATAAAAGAAATAATAGTATTAGTCCTTTTAATTTCTACCTGCTTATTGGTTCAAAAGCACAGCATTTAAAAGCCTCCATTGAAATGGTGATCACACTATATTTGATCTTATATGTACCAGCACCATCTATATATGCTATTAAAAGTTTAGAATTTTGTGCAGTTCTCGTTTATCAGAATATGCATAGGTGAAAAAACAAGACCCTGGCATTTATGTATGAATTTATAGCAGACATGAGACAAATTTCTCCTCCATTTGCTGCATTATTGAATGAGTTTCACATGCAAATAATTGTACGTTGATTATTAAATTAAATTTGTTGTTGGAAAACTAAGGTATACATGCAAGTGCAGGAGCTACTATAGGTGTACGCAAGATAACTGTCGGGTAAAGAAACGAGTGGAGAGATTAGCAGAAGATCCAAGAATGGTAATAACCACGTACGAAGGCCGGCACGTACATTCGCCGTCTCACGATCTTGAAGACTCTTCGCAACAGCCTAATTCTCAGCTTAACAATTTCTTCTGGTAGCCACCCACACCTGCAATTATTATTACTACTTAACAATCATATATCATATATCTATATAACTAATGTGCTTAAATGTTCTCCATTCTGGTTTGTGTTTGAACTTTTTGTTGTCTTTTCGAGACATAGTTTTGGGCACTTAGAAAAACATTCAAAATAAAACGAACAATAACTTTTCATTGTTGTTTTTTGTAAATTTTGTAGAATATATAATAATATTGCAGGTCTAAGTTCCACTGTTTTTTATTAGGTATATGAAAATAGCTGAGTTTTTTTTTTTTTTTTGGGGAATTAATGGATGAGTTGATTGATTTGTTGATCACCTAAGGAAGCAACCTGGAAGTTTAAGTGGCTAGGATGGAGTAGTTTTTCAACCCTGGAAGGAGCATCAATCGTTGTTGTTGTTGCATTCTCTCTTTTGCATGTTCTGAAATGATTACCTCTTGTTGCTTAAAAATAAAATTTCAAACACAAGAACAGACGAGCAAATTATTGACTTGTAACAGAAACCTTGCACGTGAGCGTCCATTAACAATAATAACATAAGCCATATAATAATAATTTCACCTTTTTTTTTTCTCTTAGCAGACCCTTTTTTCACTTCTTCTAGACAATAAAATTTTAACTTATCCAAAAAATTAATATATTATTTTCTCTTTTTGGTATAAAACAGTGTCAAAATTAATGATCTTGGTTTTTTTTCCAACATGTACAAAGGAGAGATTATTATGTATACTGAATTTCTCTTCATTTGGTGAAGGAAGGCTCCATTGGATGTTTCCTTTAAAAAGCAAAGGTTTTGGACTTTTTTTGGATTTTTCTGGATATTTGGGCTTTTTTTAGATTAAGAAAAAATATTTTCAGCCCACATAATGTTGGGGGTTGAGTTCGGCTGCAAGCCTAAAGCCTTCAAGGACGTTATTTGACATTATTTCCTTGACAGCCCAAATACAAAGAATTACAAATCTTTTGCTTCAATTTTCAAAGAGAAACTATAAATAGAAAATCAGACACTATGAAGGATGCATATTTGTTCCTTTTTAACTTATAAATGAATTATTTTTTTCCTTTTTTGTTCTTTCTAACAAATCACAGAAGAAAAACAGTATTATTAATAATAATAACTAATATCTTATACAAATTTCATCATCAAATTACAACATTCTTTGTAAAAAAAAAAAAATCGAATATCATCCCGAAAACAATGATGCAATCATAATCTACACTACAAATATTCAATGGTGATTTCTTCTTTGTAATTATATATGTAATTTTAAGTGATAATAATGAGGAATCATTTCAATCTCAGAAATGTATTTAACTTTCTGTAAACCGAAAAACAGGCAGAGCCCCTCAGGCCTTTTTTTGACCATACATGGTATTATTAGTAGGTATAACTTTATTTGTGAATTTTGTCCTTTCTTTTTTGGTTGTTTGTACTGCATATCAAGAGTCTTGAAATTCCTGAAGTTGAACTTTGATATTTTAATTATGATTTATTTTGATATTTTTCACAAAGTTATATAGCATTTTAATTCATATATATTTGATAATTTAAAATATGATATAATGATATGATATAAATATGATACGAATATAAAATATAAAGATAGCACGATTTAAAGTTTTAATAATAATTATATTTAAATTTAACAAAATTAAAAAATATATATTTTATATTATCGTATTAATATAAATTATGACATATAATTTTTACATAAATTATTATATGAATATATAAATTTTAATATTTTATATGATACAAATATACACATCGATAAATCTAAATCTATTGATCACTTGAAAGTTGAATATTTCATGGAAATTATTTCATTTGTGGGTGTAAAAAATTTATTCCGTTTTCGAAGAAGACGGGCATAGCTGTAGAAATAAGAGAAAATGGCTATAAACTTCAATTGGAGGCCTAATGAGAAGGTCACCGCTTTTATAGCTAAAATCGAAAAATTTTAATTTAATTGATCTATATAATTATTTTAAAAAATAATGATATAATTAATTAATTTATCTGATTTTAATTAAGTGGTGAATCATATATAATAATTCAAAAGAAAAAAGCCTTTGATTTACCATGGTGCTGAGTTCTTATACCGCGAAATCTATAATTGGAAGTAAATTTGATGGCATTATAATTAAGGAATGATGATCAAACGGTGGAGATATGAATTAGGAATTTAGTGGTCAGTTAAGGGTGGGACCAGAAAGCGATAGCATGGGATTACGGAAGGCGACGTTGTAGGGAAACCGAGTAGACAAAACCAGGTTGCCCTGTTGGCCCACGTGTCGCCCACTGTGCGTGTGTTTCCATGAAAGCTTTACTTAAGATTTTGAAAGCCACGTGACATCAACTCCACCATTTGGGCCTCTTATTTTCTCAAATAAAACACAAAAAAAAAAAAAAAAACCTTCAATTTGCTTTGTAAGCAATTAAGGAAGGCACTATACGGCATTTGATTTTCTGCATTTTGATTTCTTATAAAAGTTGGGGGATGTAAATAAAAATGATAATAATCATATAATATGTTTAATAAAATAATAAAATTTTAATTTTAATAATTAAAATTTATTTTTTAATATCTTTAAATATAAAAAAATAATGATATCAAACTCAATCAAACATTTTATTATTAATATTGCATTAAGAAATATTGAAAATGATGAGATGAGATATGTATATAAAACTAGGTACTAATTAAGGTACCATTTCCGTATCAATCCACAACTTGAGATGTTCAATTAAGAGTACTCGTATGTACTGATCTCACTGTATTACTGTATTAATGACAGATTATAATTAAATAACTAAAATTTGCCTACCAATTGAAGCAAGCTGTAATCCATGCATGCCACGAGACAACACAAAACAGATACGCATTTAATACAAGTCGGTCCATTGCTTGGACGGCTAAGGGCCACCAATTAAATTAATACATTTTAATTATAAATTCATTGGAGGATTATGATTAGTTTAATTAATAGTGAGAGAGAAATTCAAAATTTATTCATTTCTGATGGGATCTCAGATGCATAGCTTCATGGATGTGTGTGTGGTTAATGACTTGTATTAAATTTTTATTTTTATTTTTATTTTCTCTTTTTTAATTTTTTCCCTATCGTTTAATGGTCTTATAGTACAATTTAACTCTTTGAAAATGTTTATAAAAAATGAAAAATAGTTTTTTTTTTTCCTTAGTCATTCACCATATTTGCCCAAATTCTTCCTAGGTTTCCAGCATCTTTTTCTCCATTCCTTCACGCAACTTTTCTTTTATTTTTAAAGCAGCAACACATTTATGGGTACCTTTTACCCTATTCTAAGCAAAAAGTGACTACCTTTAATTTGTTATAGAAGTCAGTTCATTCACTTTATCCATACAGATATTCCATCAAATGATCAAACTCTAAATTTCATGCAAAAAAAAAATCTCAGAATTTGTCAAACCAATTTGCTCTCTTCTGATGTGAACATAGATTCTATATTTCCAACTAAATCTCACATGCAAGAAAATGAAAAAGAGAACTATTTTATCAAATTTTATATTACCTTCTTATTTTATTTTATGATTGAATTAATCTGTACTATTATGTACGACTAATATAATCAATTTTTTTCTAAAAAAAATCTCTTTTTTTTTTCAAAAATTTTTCATAATCTGAATTTATATATAACTTGGGACAAAGTGTAAAGGGTCAACAAAACCAAAATGCAAGTGTAATTAACTAATATTTAATAGGATCCTATTAAAGAATGTGCATAAACATTAATTAAGTATATTTAAAATGTTATTTTAAAGAAATTTTGTATTTAATGCATTATTTTCATCAAATTCAAGAAGACAGTATATTCATCCTAAAAATACACTATAAATATTTTATTAACCCATGAGTAATTACCCTTCACATTTTTTTTTCAAAATCAGTATACTCAGAGAAAATAATTATAACTTCATAATAATAATAATAATAATAAATAAAAAGCTCTAAGTTCAAGAAGGAAGCAAACACTTAGCCTAGGAGGAAATCTAGAGAAGAAATTTGTCCTCATGCATGGGCAGGAGCACGTGCGGTGCATGAATAAAAAAGGACAAAATTTAACCAATTGTAAGGAAAAATCCTTGAGTTTAGTGATCTTGAATTCTTTAATCTAGTGAATGTGTGTGTGTTAGTTTTGATTAAGGATGGGATGGTCCAGCTCCAGCCTTTGGATGTATGAATTTGTAATGGGAAAACTACATAAAAGGAGTACGGAAAAGTTTCACAGGAAGAAATGGTCCATGAATCATCATCATCAATACAAACTTTTTCTAGGAGAATTATTAGGCAAGAGAATGGAAAATTGCTGGGAAACATGAGTAAGAATTAGCCTAAGGCAACAAATTTTGAACAAAATTTTGTTCTAGACCGGTGAATCAAATCAACTGTTTTACTCTTCAAGTATATTTATTTCTGCAACTTAATTTTATGACCATTTAATTCAAATACACTTCTCAATTTAGATTCAGATGTGTTGCCCTCTGTAGTATAAATCTTAAATAAATATAAAGACATAGCTTGATATGTATATTTGTATGGAATAAAGTAGGAATACGATAAAAGAGGGCATGAAAAAAAAAATCAAGAAACCTGAAGAAGAGGCCAAAAGAGCCTTCACTTAGTCACCATCACTGATGTCACTGATCCAATCTAAGAGGTTCCTTTTGAGGATTCAATATCTGAAACAAAGTTTTCTTACAAAAAAAAAACTGCGAAACAAAAGAGCATAACAATTGAGAACTGTATATTTACACATTTATAATAAGTTAAACAACCTTTTTATGTATAACAAGATTTTTGGGAGGGATACAAGATACATCAAATGGTAGAGATACAGAAGGCAGTTCTATGCCATTTTAAAGTTGTAAAGAAGAGGGAAAATTTTGTGGGAGCTGAATGAATCATCAACATCTGCTTCTTCTTTCTTCTTCTTCTTATCTTCAAAGAATTTCTCATGAAACTTTGGTAGAACCTGTTTCATCTACTGCTTACCTTCAGGGACTTCTTTTATGGTCATGTCTACCATTTCGACTGCACTAAGACCTCCATCATCTGTGGCAATAGTTGATTGAGAGTCTAGTCCAGACCCTGCTTGTATTTCCTTGAACATTGCCATGACTTGAATCATTGTGGGTCGTCTCCATGGTCGATCATCCAAGCAAGCACAGGCTACCTTCAAGTGTTGCAAAAGTTCAATCTCAAGGCTTGGCTCCTCTTTCATGAGCTCTAGATCAAAGACATCACTTATTCTAAGTTTCGCATGCTGTTTCACCCACCCCACAAGATTGTTATCACCAAAATCAGCAGAATCTGTAGGCCTTTTCCCTGTTAGCAACTCGAGCAAAACTACACCGTAACTGTAAACATCACCTCTTGTGGAACATCTAAAGCTCTGGTAGTATTCAGGAGGAACATAGCCAGGAGTACCGGCTAATGTGCTGACACTCAGATGCGTATCCACTGCACTCATAAGCCTTGCCATCCCAAAATCTGAGACTCTAGCCTCCAAATTCTCATCAAGCAGGACATTGCTTGATTTCAT